AGAGTTGCTGAGATTACAAATACAATTGAATATTATGATAATATTGAAGCTATATTGAAGTTATATATAATAGAATTGGATTGGAGTAAAAAAAATTGTGAAAGAAAAAAAAGAAAGTGTAGATCTATAAAGGGAACATATATGAACCCAATAAAAGGAAAAACCTTGGATATAGTCACATAGAGAAAAGCAATACGAAGATAAATTAGTATAGAAGGAAGATAAACTAATATAAAATGAAATTAGCTTGTAAAAAGGGGAAAATTTTGTTGGATTGTAGAAAGTGATAAGGTGAAGAGATAAGATGTTCTTGTATTTCATATTTGCCAGTCTCATTTGTAGAGGTGGAGAATCTCTTCACCCTACCAGTAACAATAGAAAGAGCATTTTTTACCATGAAAATTATGAAAACAATACTTCACAGCAAAATGGAGGATGAATTTTTTTCAAACCCTTTGATTGTTTATAATAAAAAAGAAATAGTTCAATCATTTAGTGTTGATTTTATTATAGATAAATTTTGTGACATGAAGACTTATTGAGTATTCTTTTAATTTATAATATAAAAGTAAATTTTTAAAATTACAATGCATTATTTTAATATTTGAAAAGCCAACCCCCCTACTAAAATTCTTGGCTATGCCACTGGACAACCGATTAAGGTTTATGTTGGCAAGATGATCTACTTTTGTTCCCCCAACCCTTTATTGCTCTTTGTTTGTCAATTTCTTTACATTAAATAAGAAATTATATAATAAAAAATAACTTTTCTCTTATTTTAATATCTTCTTACATTTTTTTAGAATTTAAATTTAAAATTTTAAAATTTTTAAATAATTACTAGAAATACCTTTTTAGGGACACCACCTTTTTGTCGATAAGCTTGCCATATGGATGGATGTATACACCAAAACTAATGCACGAGCTGATCGCACCCTTTTCCTTTGTTAATTAGGGTGTGTTTAGTGTAGTTGGTGAGAAGGCCTTTTCAGGCCTAAAAGCTCCAGCTGCATCAAACACCAATGCTTGTGAAAAACACAAGTCCTTTTGAAAAGCTGATCTTTTCCCATTTTAATGCAATTTTGAGAAGCACGAATTTCATGCTTATGCGACCAATTCTACCTTTTGGTTTAATGAATTTTACTCACTCTTCCTATTTTATCCTCACATTTGCTTCTATTTACAAAAAAAACCACTATATATAGGTTCTAGCTATAACATCCCACAATTCCTTTCTCGTGCAACCTAGGTTGATGCTGTGTTTTGAAACCCGAACCAGACCGATTGGTCTGATCGGTCCGATAGCCACTCGGTGGCAAAAATGGGTTGGGTTGAAACCCAAGTCCGTTTGGATGGTCCAACCATCCAAACCCGACAAAGTCGTTCAAACCATCCAACTTGGTAGACTCGGTAAACCCGCTAGGTGAATTGATCCAAGTTGGATGCATGCACTCTGCAACTTCTTTTTTTTTTCTCTTTCCCACCATCTGGGTTTCATAATTTCATTAACGCTTTCATTCTCCACAAAACAAAGTTGGAAAATCCATTTTCTAGTTGTCATCATCCATTGATTCTCCTTCTTTACTTCTCTAGTCTCCAGTCTCCATTCTTCAATCTCCATCATTTTTCCAACGAAGAAAAAACCACAAATCAAGCAGCAGATTGGTATCCAGCACGCAGTAGCAAATCGATACCCAGCACGCAGCAGCAATAGCAGCAGGCAACAGATCAGTGTTCATCGTCTCTCCAAATTGAGCAACAGATTGGTATCTAGTAGGCAGCAACAAGCAGGCAGCAGTAGGTAGGCAGCAGCAAGCAGCAACAGCAGGCAGCAGATCAGTGCGAGATTTATTAATTTTAAGATTTGTAATTGTATAACACTTTTTATCTAATTATTGAGTTTTTGGACTTGTAGTTGGGACAAATTGCAAGGAAAAAGTCTAAAAACAATAGCAAAATTTCACCAGAAAAACCCACGATTGCACATTCTAGTAGTTTTTTATTGACACGGTTGACCAGTAGGTTGAACTGGTTGAACCGACCAAATTGAGAACCGATGAATAAACCGATTCAATCACCGATCTGGGTTTCAAAACACTGGGTTGATGTGTTTCTTCCCATCTTCTTAACCATCTTCTTCCTCATCTGACTAGATACG